ATGAACCTGTCATATGTATGTATATATGTATATATATTTGCACTCTCAGGGCTTCCACAAGTTAATTATTTAATGTAACAAAACATTGTGTTACAGCATATCGATCGATGTTCCGACCCCCACCAGGTCTTTTTTATATCCATGTAATAGAAAAAGACTATGTTAATACAATTAAATCCAACTTTAGCTAATGCGATTCAACTAAGAGTGATGGCATCAAGTATGAGCGGAAAACATAACAAAACAGAGAGCACAGAGTAAAAAGTACACTTATTCTGTTTCAGTGGAGTAGCCCCAGGCCATAAAGTATAAATAACTAGCTATAGCTTGTCAGATAAAATGTATATAAAAGTAATACACGGTGATGAATTTCACATGACTTGTTAAAACATTCATATCTAATGGTGTCACTTTGTAATAATTGCTTATGTTTTCACAAATACATTTGGGTAAGGCCATGACAAATAAATGTCATCCCTAATGATGATGAAGGAAGCACTATAATATCCCTAGGGTACTTTCTTTATCCGGTGAACATTACCTCTTCACTATTTATTTTCAGTAATCCCTTAATGACCAGTGACATGCTATGAATGTCAAGATTTAAGCAGATTTGCTAAACCCCAGGCTCTAATTTTCAAATTGTTATTGTTTTTTTTTTTTTTAAATCTTTAAATGGAATCAGTCACTTTCCAGATTTATTTTTTATATTATCTTAACTTATCCACACTTCTTTATACTGCAATTGGGTGCATTCAGGGCTCGAGTCCTGCAGGAACGCATGGGAACGGCGTTCCTGCACTTTTTCCAAAGCAGGAACGCCGTTCCCGTTACCTGTCCTGCAGGACCGGCCCTGCTACCAGGGCCGGATTAAGAGCACAGTGGGCCTGGTGCTGACAATTATGATGGGCCTAATTACGGAATCTTATTGACCAAAAACACTAAAACAGTCATACCTCCCAAGAGTCATGTATCTGATGGAGATGGTGCTGGAGGGAAACTCATAGGATGCAGCTATAAGAAAACACATACTCTATGCTAATCCCTCTCTAATTTATGATTTCATCTTTCAAGTAAATCCATAACCCTTAACAGCAGTGTCCAGTGAAGCAGGAAGTCAATGGGCGGTGTAAAAGGGTGTGCCACTGGCACAAATCACGTGAAAAGACCTGCCAAAAGGGGTGAACATGCCCAAAAAGGGGAATGTTTGTCCAAAGAATTGGAAGGTCAGCCTGGCATGAATGCATGTCAGGCTGCCTGCCAATCCTGCAGGCTGTCCAACTAAGGGCATACTATGCAGGCAGCACCTTGAGCTTGACATAAATGTGTCTAATGATGCGCTCATTCCATTCTTTCAAAGGACTGTCCCATAGCACTCGCTGGTCCACTTGTCTCCTTACCTTCTTACTAGCAGGCAGAAGTTCCTGGTATATAGTCTGAGACAGAGAAAAGATGTCTGTAGTGAGTGTAGAAGAAAGGGGACATGCCACAGTGTTAGAGAGACCAACGTCTGCATTACCTAAACTAACTTTAATGTCAGCAAGTGCACACAAGTTTTGTTCCAATACATCCCTCTTAAGCTTCCAAACTTAAAGGGACACTATAGTCACCAGAACAACTACAGCTTATTGTATTTGTTCTGGTAAGTAGAATCATTTCATTCAGGCTTTTTGCAGTAAAAACTGTCTTTTCAGAGAAAATAACTCCACTGGCTGCTCCTTAGATGGCTGCTAGAGGTGCTCCCTGGGGCAGTACTGCCTAGTGTGCAGCACTGCCATTCAGTGTCTCCACCCTCTGCATGTAGACACTGAACTTTCCTCATAGAGATGCATTGATTCAATTTATCTTTATGAGGAGATACTGATTGGCCAGGGCTATGTTGGACTTGTGCTGGCTCTGCCCCTGATCTGCCTAGTTGACAGTCTCAGCCAGTCCTATGGGGAAGTATTGTAATTTGCTCAGACCACCACTTCTGAGCCAGCAGCTGCAGAATTTAATACAAGTAATATTTTACTATATTTAGGGAGGCAAGAAGGGGCCAGGGTGGTGGTTTTAACATAATAGGGTCAGAAATACATGATTGTGTTCCTGACCCTATAGTGCTTCTTTAAGCAAGAGTATGTGAAGTAGTTAAGGTTGCCACCTTTCTTGGAAAAAAATACCAGCCTTAATAATTTGTATAATTAGTTATGCGTGACATCACATGATGTAAATTACAAGGAGTGACATCAGAGAAAATTCTATAAAATCACCAAACTACTCACAGTTTGATTCTGCTGTATAGATGGATTGCTCCCAGTGTCTCCCTGTCTCCCAGTGTCTCAGTCTCGCAAGTCACCCAGTGTCTCAGTGTCCCTATGTATCACAGTGTCAGTGTCCCTGTGTCGCCCAGTCCCCTAGTCTCCCAGAGTCTGTGTCCCCATTTCTCCCAGTGTCTCAGTGTGTCCCCATGTCACTAGGATACTGGGGACACTGAGAGACCCAGGGACACTGAGACATTTAGGGAAACTGGGAGAAATGGGGAAACTGAGACATTAGGGACACAGACACTGGGAGACATGGGGACACTGAAACATTTGGGGACACTAAGACACTAGGGACACAGACATGGGAACACAGACACTGGGAGACTAGGGGACACTGGGAGACTAGGGGACACTGGCTGGGAGACAGACACTTGGGGACACGGGGACAGTTGTGGACATAGACATTTGGACACTGGGACATATAGGGACACTGGGAGACATGGGGACACCAGGCACACTGAGACACTAGGAACACACTGGGAGACATGGAGACACTGAAACATATGGGGACACTAAGACACTAGGGACACAGACACTGGGAGACTAGGGGACACTGGGAGACTAGGGGATACTGGGAGACTAGGGGACACTGGTTGGGAGACAGACACTTGGGGAGACATGGGGACAGTTGTGGACATGGACATGGGGACACTGGGACACATGGGGACACTAGGCACACTGAGAGACATGGGACACAGACACTGGGAGACTTGGGGACACTGAGACACTAGGGACACTGGCTGGGGGACATAGTGTCTCCATGTCCCAATGTCTCCCTATGTCTCACAGCGTCCCCATGTGTCTCAGCATCACCATGTGTCTCAGTGTCCCCTAGTGTCTCAGTGTCCCCAGGTCTCCCAGTGTCTGTGTCCCCATGAGTCCTAGTGTCTCAGTGTCCCCTAGTGGCTGTGTCCCCATGTGTGTCCTAGTGTCTCAGTGTCCCCTAGTGTCTGTGTTCCCATATGTCCCCAAGTGTCCCCATGTTTTTCAGTGTCCCCAAGTGTCTCAGTGTTCCCAGGTCTCCCAGTGTCTGTGTCCTAGTGTCTCAGTGTCCCCTAGTGTATGTGTCATCATGTGTCCCCTAGTGTCTGTGTCCCCTAGTGTCTAAGGGTCCCCATGTGTCCCCTAGTGTCTCAGTGTCCCCTAGTGTATGTGTCCCCATGTTTCCCCTAGTGTTTCAGTGTCCCCAATGTGTCCCCTAGTGTCTCAGTGTCCCCATGTGTCCCTGCTGCCTTTCCCCCGATCCCTCACTTACCTGAGCTGTAGAGCTGCTGTCTGGACTCCCTGTGCTGTGTAGCTGCTCCCCCACGGATCAGTGAGTAGTAGAGAGAGGCAGGGATATTCTGTAACTTCCTATCCCTGCCTCTCTCCACACACAGTGACCCCTACTGGCTGGTGCTGGTATTGCAGAGTAATTTCCATTTATTCTGAGAAAATTACCTGCATTTGTATTGCTGGTATTACTGCAATACCGGCACGGCCAGGCAGCCTCAAATACCGTCTGTGCCATTAAAATACCAGTCAGGTGGCAAACCTAAGAGTAGTGTGTAAAAAAAAAAAAAAAATTTTTTTTTTTTTTAAATGGGCCTATTCCATGGGCCTGGGCCTGGAGCTGCAGCTCCATCAGCCCCTATGTTAATCCGGCCCTGCCTGCTACCTGCACAGAGGGGCCAGCACACGCTGTGTTCCCCCTCCAGCTATAACTCTCGCGAGACCCGCAGCTGTTACCATGGCAACGCTCCGCACAGGCGAGTCTTGCGAGAGTTAGAGCTGGAGAGGGAACACAGCGTGTGATGGCCCCTGTGTGCAGCGGCTGGCTCCCTCCAGCATACCACCGGACCACCAGGCGATCTCCCCCCTCCCTGACAAGGTAAGAAGCAGGGAGGGGGGAATAAAATAAAAAATATACATACACATAAAGTTAAAAAAAATGCTCCCCCCCACACCCATCATCCAGCACTCACACACACCCATCATCCAGCACTCACACACCCATCATCCAGCACACACACACCCATCATCCAGCACACACACACACACCCATCATCCAGCACTCACTCACACACCCATCATCCAGCACTCACTCACACCCCCATCATCCAGCACTCACTCACACACCCATCATCCAGCACTCACTCACACCCATCATCCAGCACACACACACACACTGATCAACACTCACACACCCATCATCCAGCACTCACACACCATCATCGCCCTCCCACACACCCATCATCCAGCACACACACACACACCCATCATCCAGCATCACTCACACACCCATCATCCAACACTCACTCCACACACCCATCATCCAGCACTCCACACACCCATCATCCAGCACACACCACACCATGTCAGCACTCCCACTCACACCATCATCCAGCACACACACACACACACAGTCAACACTCACACACCCAATCATCCAACTCCACACACCCATCATCCAGCACGCACACACACCATCATCCAGCACACCCACATCATCAAGCACTCACACACATCATCCAGCACTCACACACACATCATCCAGCACTCCACACCCATCATCCAACACACACACACCCATCATCCAACACACACACCCATCATCCAACACTCCACACAAACACCCATCATCCAGCATCGCACAATCATCCAGCACGCACACACACAATCATCCAGCACGCACACACACACAATCATCCAGCACACACACACATCATCCAGCGCACACACACACATCATCCAGCACTCACACACACATCATCCAGCACTCACACACACATCATCCAGCACTCACACACACACCCATCATCCAGCACTCACCCACCCATCATCCAGCACTCACACACACATCATCCAGCACTCACACACCCATCATCCAGCACTCACACACACACATCATCCAGCACTCACACGCACATCATCCAGCACTCACACGCACATCATCCAGCACACTCACACACATCATCCAGCACGCACTCACACATCATCCAGCACTCACACACCCATCATCCAGCACTCACACACACATCATCCAGCACTCACACACACATCATCCAGCACACACACACATCATCCAAGCACTCACACACACCACGTCATCCAAGCCCAGCGCACAGCACACCTGCATTCGTATGCACTCTTCCTCTTTTCTAAACACGCCATTCACTGCCACACCCTCTGCATTCACTACCACACTCTGCATTTATGCACATTCTGCACTCACTAAACACTACACATTCACTAACACACACTCTGCATTCACTACAAACACACTGCATTAGTGTACACACTCTGCATTCACTACAAACACACTGCATTCAGTGTACACACTCTGCATTCACTACAAACACACTACATTCATTATACACACCCTGCACTGCACTATATGCATAGGAGTGTAATTTTTTTTTTTTTTTAAAGGGGGGGGGGGCGGCGGGAATCTTGGGTGAGTTCCCACACTTTTTTCCCCAGGACTTGACCCCTGGGTGCATTCATGTTAGATCTCTGTTAATCATCCGTCCTTTCCACCTGGCGCTCAACATAGAGAGGGCATACAGAGAAGAGGAGAAAATGTATTACATACATCAGTCACATTATCCAGCATTGTCAAGTGAAACCATTGTAGACCTTGTCTTATCTTGTCTTACCTGCCAATGGATATAGACTCTTAAATTACCCCTCCCTTCAAAATCACTGTGAATACTAAAAGAAAATGCAAGTATAAAAGAGAAAATCCTGCCAAGATGACGGAGTTAAAAAAAATTAAGCTATAAGTAATTGTAGTTGCCCCCTTTTACCTTCCAACTCTTGCGTCCTATGAAGCCGGATGCTATTGCGATGGATGGTAAAGGGGCAGGCCAGTGAAGCAATTGCATCCAAAATTTTAATCTCTTTAGTTTGGATAAAAGGCGCCTCAGAGGGGATATTATAACATTATACAAATATATTCGGGGCCAGTACAAACCATTATCTGGAAATCTATTCATAAACAGGGCTATACATAGGACACAAGGTCACGCATTTAGGCTGGAAGAAAGGAGATTTCATCTAAGGCAAAGAAAAGGTTTTCTTTACAGTAAGAGCAATAAGGATATGGAATTCTCTGCCTGAAGAGGTGGTTTTATCAGATTCCGTACAGATGTTCAAACTGCAATTGGATAAATACTTGCAAAAACATAACATACAGGGATATAATTTCTAAATAGTGGGGTAATAGCTGCTTGATCCAAGGAGACATCTGACTGCTATTTTGGGGTCAAGAAGGAATTTTTTCCTAGTTTGTTGCAAAATTGGAAGCGCTTCAGACTAGGTTTTTTTTTGCCTTCTTTTGGATCAACAACAAAAACATATGTGAGAAAGGCTGAACTTGATGGACACAAGTCTCTTTTCAGCCTATGTAACTATTTAAGATATTTTTTAAATGGCCGTAGCTTACAACAAGACAGTGAGTTAACATATGGTATTCCAAATTAAATTATATGGATAGGTATAGCAAATTTAGCTGAAAGGTTAGTAAATGTTACACATGTTCATATTTAGGTAGCTTGTTTGTAGTCAGAATAATGGATTTGATTCTTCTTATTTTTACATTCAGATTTTTTCTGTCTTCATTAAGACACAAATTTCAAAAGCCAGTTGTGTTCTTTAACAGGGATTTCACTTAAATGAGTTACATACAAGGTTACTTCTTCAAACCCACGTTCGGTTTAACACACTCAGATTATGACAGTGGTTTTTCACTTTCCTTTTTCCTTCTTTTCTATGAAATTATTTCCATCTCTGCCTTCATCCATACAATCTGAGTATGAATGGTAACAGTAGCTCAGATCAATTTGCCCAACTATGGGATCATCTTTAAATAGACCTTTTAAGTCTGGATATGTAACATCCTAACTGATGAGTATTTGTGCCTATTTTCAACATACCTTTACCTCCTAGTATACGTATATCACTCATTTACTCTTGCCTGGGGTTCCCTTTCTCTTAAGACTTTAATAAAATTGGAACATTTATTACCTCTAATTGGACTACACCTTATATATATATATTCACATGAATCACATGGCCTTTAACAATCATTAGTTAAATATATCTGTCTATGCAGTCTATTGTATAGGAGGGGGGCGTAAAGACAGAGAAAGCACTTCTTATGGTCTTGAAGACGTGAAAAGGATTTGTTATAGATATGTATATTAACCCAATCAGCATCAGCAACATTCAAGACATTCAACGTTAATCGTCAGTGCTGCACACTGTGCAGCGATGAATCAGGAAGCACCTCTAGTGGCAGTCTGAGTGACAGCCATTAGAGGTGTCCCTAGGCAGTAAACACTGTATTTTCTCTGGTAAGGCAGTGTTTACATTAAAAAGCCAGCAGTATACTCCAAAACAACTACATTAAGCTGTAGTGACTATAGTGTCCCTTTAAGTTCAATATGAGATCCTGATTAATGCAAGAATACAGACTTTCTGACTTTCTGTCTTCATCATACTTTCTACCTATGTTTCAATATTAAAGAGGAATTGTCATGATTAATACATTTGGTTTTGATCACATGCAGCCATGCATATAAAACCCACTTACCTCCAGACATGAGTAATGAGTGCTGCAATTTTATTTAAGCACTTTAAAATTATTTTATGCAAATTAAAATGATCCCATAATTTCACTCTTTCCAAGAAATTGTTACGTATATACAATATATGCTAACATTAAATGAGAAAAATCATGAAAACATTTACTAGATTGCCACAAAATGTTCTATCTGAACCACGGTTAAATGTAGTAAATTCAATTTAAAAAAAATAAATGGACAACAAAAGTAATAGCTACTTTCTTTTCACATGGTATTAAAAAAATAACAAAAATTAAATAAATAATAATTATCTTATCTTAAATGTAACAGATCCGCTTTAAACTTATGTGGTTCTCACCTATCACTATTTACAGACCATGACCAAAGTTCTACAGAAGGAGACAGTAATTTAAACCTAAAGAAAATAATATATTAACTCTCTTCTCCTGCAAATATTTCCTTGCATTGAAGGATAACACTGATATGATTCATTCTACTGGAAACACAAACATATTTCTTTATGTCCTAGAAAATAACCTGCTCTTGAAATAGTCACTATTTGAACTTCCCAGAGATAAATCTTACACATTTTTCCACTATGTTTAATCGGTTACTCCTAACCTTAAAAAGCTGTGTTCGTAAATCCTTAGAGTCCATTAGCCCTGCAGACCTTATCAAAAAATAGAAAGGTGCGTGGGGAGAGCGGAGACTGATGTTCCTGTGCAAAGGAAGGATTTTTTTTTGTATCACTGTAGCTTTACATCACCTGCTTTATCTTAACCAGTTCATTGCAGTTAAAGGCCTATTAATTCTTAAGTAAAAGACTGGACGGATTGTCAGCAGTGAAGGGGTTAGCCTTAGTAACATTCAGAACTTTGAGCCCTGTGGATAACATATGGTGAAAGGGCAAACATCAGTGAAGAGACTCTCAGGAAATGAAGTCTCTTTCTACTGAGAGCAACCCTATCAGCAATAATAACCTTTATATCAATGATTTTCAAAATGGTCATCAGAGCCCACCAACATGACAATAAACAGGGGTATAATTAAAACTAACCAAGCCGGTAGAGCACTCACCTTTGCTAAAGCAAAGATATGGGGAAATAGTCTACTGGGGACTTTCCAAGTGTCACTATTTCGGAGGGACTACTTTGGACTTCCCAAGTATCATTATTTCAGAGTTTGGCCCAAATTCCTCTTCCCTCTTTTATATCCTAATGTCCTTCTTTTCTATGGCTCTATATTGTTAGTGTGTCTGAATGTATAACATAGCTCCACAGCAATAATACTCCCAGTAATGTGTCTTTAAACAACACTAAGTGTGTTTAGAAATCAGTCTGTGTAAATAATATACATTGTTCTTCTTCTAAATTACATTTTAGTTGCATACATTGTTATTAGTAATTTCTCAAAATGGCCCTGCCCCTGGCCACACACACAGCCACACCCCCAAATTGAAATGTTTCTCTTTGCCCTTTTGTAATGCTGGGATGTATGTTATCGATGGGTATGGAGGACATAGTTAAAGAACTTCCTTGTCTACTTCAAAAGTACCTCAGAGAGCAGGAATAGGCAACTTTCGGTACTCCAGATGTTGTGGACTACATCTCCCATAATGCTTTTACAGCCATAATGCTGACAAAGCACCATTAAAGGGACACTCCAGGCACCCAGACCACTTCTGCCCATTGGAGTGGTCTGGGTGCCAACTCCCACTACCCTTAACCCTGCAACTGTAAATACTGCAGTTTTCACAAACTGCAATATTTACATTGCAGGGTTAACTCCTCCTCTAGTGGCTGTCTACTAGACAGCCACTAGAGGGCACTTCTTGGTTTATAGCACAGATTTTCTGTGCTGTAGCGTCGCTGGACGGTGAGGACCTTCAGCGTTGCAAAAATCCCCATAGGAAAACATTGAAAGCATGCGCATTAGGTCTCCCCCGCCGGATGATGTCGGCGGGGAAGGAGCGTGGACCCTGAACCAGCACCGAGGGACATCGGCGCTGGATACAGGTAAGCAACCTGGGATGCAACCTGGATGGGGGTAAGCAACCTGGGATACAGGTAAGCAACCTGGGATGGGGGGGGGGGAGGGAGAGGGGACCTGCAGTGCCAGGAAAACAGATTGTTTTCCTGGCACTGGAGTGTCCCTTTAATATGTTGAGTAATGTTAATATTTGAAAGTACTTGGTGAACATATGGATAACATGTAGTAATGTTTGGTGGGAGTCAAATTAGCTAGCAATACAAATGTATTCATTTTTAGATACATTTTTATGTTGATCACCCACCAAATAGTTTTGAGATTTTCAGGTTTTATAAAAAAATCTCTGGGTCAGGTTGATAAAAAAACCTATGTAAAGCATAGTGGAAAATTATAGCATTTTCTAAATAAACTAAATTTCTTTCATTTATGTCACGCAAAAAAAGAAACATGACGAGTCCCTAGAATTGTTTCAAGATCAATA